CTATCACTACTTTATGTTCAAACTAAATTAAGTTTAATTTTATAGAAGAGAAACACATGCTTCTTAAATTGTTAGAACAGACAATTTTCACAACACTATAACAACACAGGAGACACTTCTTAAATTGTTAAAACAGACAGTTTTCACAGCATTCTATAGCAACACAGGAGGTGTTTCTATAGTTTGTTATATCTCTAAAACAGAACAGATGATGCTACATTATAATTAGAAAAAAGGGTTTAAATCTTCAAAGCATTCCAAAAAATGACTTCATAAAAACTACAAAGTTCCATACCTTGGTTGATGTCTTGGTTAGAGGCAGGTTTATCTGAAACCCCTTGGTGACTGGTGGTTTTTGGCACACCAGTATTATTAACCACGTGTAGAGTGACAGTCGACAATCAGTGTCAACCACACTAACGAGCAGGTGCCTGTGGGTTAAACGTACAACTTTCATATAGATGTAAATGTAAAGGTGTATGATGTCTAAGTTGACATATAAAAAAATGGTATAAGTGAAATATTCTATACCCTTCTCACTAGAAACTAACAGTGGATGATGCAGTTTAGATTATACATTACCTACTAATAGATATTCTTCTTTAAACACACAGCTACAATCTTTCTCAAACTAGCACTGCTTTCACTTCAATTTCAGGAAAATGAAGGAGACTCATTTGCTAATTGGAGATATACATATGATTATAAACTGAAAGAAACTCACTCTCTGTTTAGATAAACAGCTTTTGTAAATTGAAGAAGACTCACTTTTTATTTAAAAATAAAACAGTTGTGTGTAAACAAAAAGAAACTCACTCTCTGTTTAGATAAAATGCTGATTGTAAATTTAAGGGGACTCACTTAAACATAAACAACTGTGTGTAAACCAAAGGAAACTCACTCTCTGTTTAGATAAACAGCTGTTTGTAAACTGAAGGAGACTCACTTTGCAACTAAAATTTAGCACTACATTACAATTCTAAATAACTAGTCCATTTACCAATGTGATCAAACAGCTGCAAATTTCTTAATGACTCTGAATTAACATCAAGTAGATATGATTCAAGTCAGTTCACTCACTGAATTGGTAACAGTGGCAAAACATCTATATTGTTGGCAGCTGAGTCAAGGTTACGTTGTCTCTACCAATGACTGGTACATCCTATGTGGACAGCTTGGGCTGAATGGTATTTTAGGTGAACATAAATGAATATGGTCATTCAAGTGGCTGTCCTGTTTAGTTGAATATGATCATTTAGGAGGTTGTAGTGAGGAATCGGTATGAATGGAAGAACAGGTTTCACCATGCTTCCAAGGGATGTTTGATGAAACACATATATGATACTATACCAAGACTGAAGAATCTTTAAAGGGTTCAATTGCACCAACTTTTGTCTTCATAACCTTCACTGCTAAACAGTGGCATAGCAAGGGTTCTCAGCACCCGAGGGCAAAGACACTTTTGGCGCCCCCACCTCTGAAATGTTTTGATTATTTGTTTTGTGACTCATTACCTACTTAATGACAATAACATAAAGAATTAATTACCA